CTTTTTTATACAAATGTAATACGTTATTTATATCTTACTCGTACCTAAATGTATTATAGTAGCAAATATACCATCTATATAATGTAATTCACTATCCATACATCAACTAAATATTTTTCGAGAATAATTATTAATACTAGTAATAAATCAAAAAATGTTATCATTAATCTACTAGAATAACTTTTGTATAAAGTAGTTATAAATAAATTAAGCTAACGAGGATATTATGGATACATTAAAATGTGTTTTAGGTAGTGATTTGGTTAACTATATTATAACGTAATAAAAATGGAAAATATCTGTTAAGTAAATGTGAATTGAGTTATATACAACTTTTAAAAGATTTTTTCCTATGTATACACCCGTCACCAATGCAAATGTTTAAAATATGCATTATGTACCAATACGGTGATTACTTTTTTTTTCGGTGCAGATTCTTCTTATTACATTTAAAGTTATCATAAATTATGATAAAATATTATACAAAAAGAGGTATTATTTATGTTCGAGGCGTTATTTCGCAGTATTTCAGCGAAATTAAAAGTGCAAAGCATGAATTTAATCATTAGAGAAAAATACGCGATAAATAGGTGAGCACATATTCGTAATTTAGCTGTTTTTCACTTTCATAAGCAACCCACTCTGTGTGTAAAAATTAAATTTGTAAAATGAAAATAAAATGGACGGCAATTAAAGACGTCTAATGTTTAATTTTTAAATGTTTCTAAACGTGACTTGGATGAGGATCAAGTAGCTATATGAACACAAAAAAAATGTATTAAAATGCAAAAAACACGTTATTGTATAATGTGTTATAATAACAACGTTATAATAATTAAATAATATTAATGAACGCTTGTTCTATTTATTCACATAAATTATCGCAAAAACTAAATAAATGTTTAAATTTTGATTAAATGTTTTAAAACTTATTTTCTAGCGCAAAAACAATAGTTGTACTTACTTGATGGTTTCTTATTAATTTACCATTCAACGCTGATTAAGACAGCGTGAACAGACAGATTAGTGCCAAAATAGTGTGAACACAGAGGTTCGATTCTTTGTTTAAGATTAAGTGTAGTAACTATTATTGTTATTCGAATTGAAATATTTTATCATTTAAAAATAAAACTCAATTGTATAAATTCAAACGCGGAAAAATTTTTATTTAGTTAAACGTGTAATAATTTAAATTAAGTAAAATTTATAAGTTAAACATTTTGCGGTTATATAGAAGAATGAAGTTTCTATTGATCGTTATGTACAAATCAGCTAACGCTAAGGTATAACTGGAAAACGTATCATTGCGATCGGATTATAATGTGATGGATTTAATTAATAATAATAAGTTAATGGGTGTGAGAGATTACAAATAAGTTAATGATCGCTGTACCGTGTTTAATTTAATTATAACAACACGTATTTATACTTTGTATGTTTAAAGAAACAATGATATATTTTAATAACTTTAGCTGTAATAATATTATCCATCCCCATCCATATAACACTATTTTAATAATATGGTTTAGATTTTAATTTATTTGGATTTTTTTAGATTTCTTGACACGAATACATAATGATTTTTAAGTTACGAATGATTTTCAAGTACAAATTTATTCTAGAAACGATTTTTTTATTCGCTGTTGGTCACGCATGGTGAAATATTTTCTTGCATGGGTATTTTTTTTCTACTTACAGCTGTCTATTATTTCGGTGTATTGTGTTAACGTTAAGCATCCATAATTCATATACTTTTTATGTAACGTATAATTTAAAAATAATTTCACAATAACAGAAATTATAATCAACTAGGTATCGATTGTCAGTATTAACAGTATTTAACTGATGCCATTTGTATCCACCTAAAGAAAAATATTCTCTAACCGTGACGTTAATAATAATGATAATAGTAATCTATAATTAAATTTTTAATGTGTAATATCAATATGATGAGATAAATATTCAAATATATTATGTTTAAATACTATCAATATAAATTGCATAAGAAAATTATTTTAGTAATTTTTAACATGTCATATCATAGCAATAGAGACAATTTCTTATCAGGCTCGACAAATAAAGTAAATAAAAAAAAATTAAACGCTCTTAATATTTAAATTTTTAGAGAATATTAGTTTAGATTAGGAATATAGAAAAAATTACCTTATTAATACAATTTTAAAAAATGTATTTTTTTTTGTTTTTATTTAGAAGTCGTAACCAGGTTGTATGGTTACCGGTGAGTTACATACATAATAATTTGTCAATTTGTTGTATTAATTCAATACAAATTAACTAAATTTTTCTATAAAAAATAATCAAATAATAATTCTAAAATATATTATGGATAAAAAATCAAATTATTTAAGTCAACTGTTATATTTTTTACGACATCAAAATTCTAGTCTTAATTACAATATACCTATGCGCAATAAACTTATGCAACATAATTTCTTCTAAGCATAAATTAAAGTATAAATTAATTAAAATAATTAGTAGGATTAGAAATGTTATGAGCATTTCGCATTTAATATATTACTAAAACGAAAGAAACAGCTGTAGGTACTATCAGCCATTTTAATCGCGCGGATAATGTCTCGGAGAAGTCAACCGTAAATGAGTCACACGATTTTCTTCCTCTATAAGTCAACCACGTGAAAAAATTCAAGATATTATTTAACAGTGTATGTAGATATATATATATATATAGTATATACGGCATACGGAAGATAGAGAGCCCCGACAACAAAAGGCTAATCTTTTTGAGCTTTACTGTTAAAGTTGAAACTATAGTATTTATTCGCTGGAAAAAAGTCGTGTCAGATAGATAACGGGAAAAAAAAAATGTACACGCCTAAAGCATAATATAACTTTCGTCGTGTTCACGACTGAAGTCGACAATTGGCAAGTTTTAACTGATTTACTTTCGCCATATATAAATAATAAATTATACTAAAACGGCGGAGCGTTGGTGCGTTTTTTCATCCTCGCTGACCTTTAGAGCACGGTTCATCTCAAAAACATAGTCCGACACATATAAGCATATTTACAACTGTATTAACTGACCTAATACAGCCCTACCATATGCATAGGTTAAACACTATAGGAAAAGATAGATGTGTCAAATAATGCTATTGATACTGCGCCTAATTGGGACATCAAGATCATTTACATCGTTGGTCCTTGTTTATTCTCTACGTGTATTTGTGGGTAGATATACAATGGCGGTGACCGATGTTCGTATATAATATGTGTAACGTGAATTTAATAATGATTGTCGACAAAAAGGTTGGTTGTGGTTACCACTTAATATTATACATGACAAGTATTAATAACTCGAAAACAACTCGTATTTTGTATACTATATCAGCTCACAACAACAAACTTTGAATATACTGCACGTACTAAACAATATGAGAGTATGGATAGCTACTGGCGCTTTTTTGATCTAGTCCCATAGAAAACATTCTCAAAGTATTAAGTGAAATAATGCCACTCAGCATGAAACGCTATGAATTAGTCGTAAATCTAAAAGTGAAACTCGCTAGAAATAATATGTCGCGTCGTATAGTGATATTTCGTATAAGATTATTCAACTAATAATTTTTACATAAAAAAATTTGATTTGAACACATCTTCACGGCACTTCAAAATAAATATCGACCTCAGTCTCACAAATTCCCACAGAAGCTCTTTGATCCTTCTAATTAAACATTAATTTTAAAAATATAATCCTTCTATACACACATCATCAAAATAAACACAAATCACAACGCTTAAAAAACCATAATTTACGTTGAAGAATCACTTCACAATGTTTTATATTTTCAGCTGACGCATTTATAAATTAACAAAACACTAGAAATTGTTCACGATAAAGTTTTCAAGAACTTTACTATTCTAAGTGACTTTTTAAGCGCATTAGTTATTTTAGAGCATACGTAAAACCTTTTAAGTTTAGCTTAACTCAGACAAAAACATATTGTTCTACATTTAAACGAGAGTAACTCGGTTAAATTTATGTAGATGTATGAACGTTCTTTAGAGGACGTCAACGAAAAGGCTGACTATCACGCCAATTAAGCTTTGTCATTTCTTTCCTCGAAACTCATTCCACGTGAAATTGCATAGAATAAAATCTCCGTCCTTCATTTAAATAAAAATACTCTAAAAATACTCGGATAATCGATAGATATCTGACGACAAGAGTGGAGAAATTGACATGTCCAATATGTTGTCGAGATCCTCACTGTTTATCATGTCAGTATGTATATAAAAGCTATAGATTAAAAATTCCTTCAGTCTTAGCGAAATCAATTGGTTTAATTAATAATAATACAGATGATAAAAACAAAAAAATATTGTAGATTAGATTTAGTCTCTGCAGTATGTTTCGCATATTTTGTAAACTGTATACAACTTTTTTACGTAAAAACTCATTGAATAATTCATTAATCATCATTAAATCATGATAATATTTCTTTGCACAACCTTTTTTGTGGAACCTCTAGCTAATATTACCGATTAGCAAGCTACATTGCTTGGGGACGGTTTTTCACCGCTGTGAAATAACTATTAATAATTGTCACGATGAACAGCGTGGACCAAAATCGAAGCATTCGTTGTTTTCGTAAAACAAAAATCTAATGCCAGAAGCATCTAAAAAATCTATCCACGTGAATTAAAATTACAGATCTAATAACGCATAATATTATGTACTATTTATTTATGTAGGATAGATATGCAAATTTCAAAGCGGTACGATATAAAATTCTTTTGTAATGTTCATATCGCAGACAATTTTACTTTTTATATTTTTGGTTTATTAATAGAACACGAGTCACCCATTAGCTATAGGGTTGGTCACACACATCGACATGATTATAATACAACCGTCTGTGGATTAAAAAGTCACAGTAATGTATTTATTAATTATACAGTTAACTCGGTATTATTGTAAAAATAAAATGATATTATTATTGTACGTCATAATTAATTACCGGCACTCTTTCTTCGGTTTCCACAATCAGATGGTTGTTTTTCATCGTCAACGTGATAATGCTCCCGTTCAGGTTCGTTTTGTTCGTGTTTCCAAAACGATTGTTGGGCGGACTATTGTACAACAGCGGTGGCAGCGGCGCGGAAGCACCGTTCGCCGCGGCGTAGCAGCACACCGCCGCCGACGTCACATCGTCTGGCATCAGAACGGAATACTGCGATTCACTGGTCTTCAGCTGGGTCCAAAACACAAAAGCATAATGATATAACATCCACGAATTATTATTATTATTATCATTATCATATCATTATTTCCGATGTGCGGCACACGGTTACGACGACGCGCGTAGAGGTATTGTCATTTCGAGCATTATCGTTTGATCTCTACTCACTCGTGTACATGACGTATATTATATTAAAATAATTAATTAATAATACAATAATATTAGGATTTATTGTATTCGACGAAAATCATACGTACATCTTATGGTTCCCGCGTAGACGTGAATGTATGGTAATTAAAGTTTATAAGTGCGTTTCTATGTGTAATTATTATGATTAATACCTACTATTTAAAGAATATTATTCTCCATACCTATAAACAAAATCCAATTATTCGTGTAAATGTGTACCACCCTGCCGTAATAATTTCCTATAAACATTTTTTTTTTTTTCAAATCAAATATAACTATACTCGTGGACTCGTCAATGTGTATATTTTATAGTCTCAATATTATACTCAGATAGTTAGATTTCGATAGGATTTAGCTTTGTGATGGAAAGCAATCTTTATTCAGAAAAAATATTACCTCGTTTATTGAAGAGTTAGAATTTAATTTCAATATATTATTTATTATTGCTTCTACTCAAAACTGAAGCTATAATAATAAGTTTAACACCCATACACTTATATTACAGCTATAAAAATACTTAAAAAATAACGAATATATTTTCATTTTATTTTTTAATTGTAAAAAAAAAAAAAAACTATTGAAATTTTAAACAACTTTGCTACCTATGTATTATAAAATATGATGAAAATGGTTTTTGAAATTAATAATATGACATTGTTGACATGTTATTATTAAACACAGTAAATCTTGTCAGAAAATCAGAAAATAAATTTACCTAACGCCTGCAGATTTTACCGTTTTTAAATTTATAAACTAAACTATTTATTTGATAATAAAGTAATTATATTTTGTTAAAATGATAAAGTATAAACAATTTTTATCGATATAATAAATTTCATATTTAATAAAGTTTTAGTAGCTGGCAGTATAAAGATTAGGGACGTGAGATGAAATAATTTAAATAATTGTTGTGAGAGTTAATTAAATATTCGACTTTTATTATAATATTATCTACATTATATTAAAACTAATTTGTGTACTTCTATTTATCAAACGTGGTTTTTTGTGAAATAATTTTACTGAGTTAATAAAGGTATTCGAGATAATAATATAAATTATTGTTCGTATTAAACCGTTTTTAAAAGTTATTTTAAATTATTTTTATAGCTAGTTAAACGTAATAATCAAAATTATAATAATACGAAATATGACTTGGATTGTGAACAATATTTCCATTTTTATTTTGTAAAAAAATTGCTGATAAAATATGTTTTATGTGATGCTGAACGCCAATTAATTTACCATCTACATGTCAACCTATATGATTGCAAGAAAATAAGCAAGATCAACATCATTATGAGATATTGTAGTAAGGTCCCGCCTGCAGTTTAAAGTTTCCAGAACAATAAATTGCTTATCCACAATCTACTCACTTTTTATCTCTCAGTTTTCCAAGAAAACTTTGTATATATCGTCCTTTTTTTTGACAGCATCTTTTTCGACCTTAGCCAGTACATTAAATTCGGTTTTAATAATGTCAACTAATATATGCATGTGTGATTCATATTCATGTATAATTATAATTATTGATAATATACACTTTTGTAAATCCCTTAGATAAAATTACCTCAGTTCTTTCTTTATTTGTTTCTTCAAAATTTATTACTTGAATATTTTTTATCAAAATTTGCGCTGTTTAAAAAAAAACATTATAAATAATAATTTAAAATATTATTTTCTTCTTTATTTTTTTTTCCCAAATTAAATTATTATTTTAACAAAGACATGGTACATTATTAGTGCTATTTAATTAGCATGTATATTTGTAAATTCCTGAGTTTTATCATAGCTATTTTATGTGATTTTACAGACAATTATTTTAATTTTTTTTTTTTGAAAATTGGTTGAAAAATGATTTATTTACCCGATACATATGTTGAAAAAGTTAAAAACTACTTTATTAAATTGTCAGTACATCACTTATTTTGTGGATAAATAACCTGATTTTTAAAACCTGTTATCAATTTTTATGATATTCCTGATATACTTGATGGAGCTTGATTTTACGGACTTTCAGATTTTCAAAATGGATAATAGAATAGATTCTTATACTAAACTACTAAACCTAAAATATTCAAATGACTATAAAATTTATAAAAAAGTAATTAACCATTAATTTATTGATGAATTTAATGTTTTTGTTATAATCAGAGTTATATTTTGTATTTCCCCTTTAATAATATAAATTACGTCTCACTTTTGTGGAAATAGTAATTTCAGTATACTCACCTAATAATAAGAATCATGTGGTTATTATAGCATATTCTTGTTAAAATGTACAATTAATGTTAGTATTTTAACCTTTTATAAGGACGTATGAGGGCATATATATTTTATATTTCTCTATTAACCTTCCACTGGACATAATTTTTGATCGTTATACGAATGTAAGTTTAAATATAAGACGTCAACGCTAGCAAATAAATTGGATCTTTGACGTACGTAAGGCATTAGATCACAAAACGTCATACTGTGTATATAGTCTCTGTTGCAGTCCAGTTAGGTACATTATATTATAGTTATATCAGTGTCAACATAATCGTTAAGTCATGATTTATCGACATTATATACCAAAACCCATTAAAGCTTCAATTTCAACAACTCTATGGTTAATTTTTCGTATGTGATATGTATGTCTTATAATTTATTATTTTATTTTTGAATACTTTTTTGATATTTATTCAAATTCTTTCCTTTAATAATATAATTTAACATATATTAAATATAATAATTCTTTCCTTCCTAATCAATAAGTAATATTATAATATTTTTCATTAGTATATAATAGAAACCGTTAAAAATGACATTCAATGGACTAGTCAAAATTAGCCATAAAAACCGACTTTCATTATTAACAAAATAATACAATTAATTTAAAAATTCGTATAGATATTTAACAATAAATAAAAAAAAAAAAACAAAAAATTAACTAAATAAGTAAATAAAAATAAAATAAAATATAAGATATTATTATTAATTAATAACTAATTTTATATTTTATTATAAGCAATGTGCAATATTTTCTAAATCTGATAGTAAATCGCGATTTCAATATTTAGAGAAACAATTTTTTTTTAAAGTGGCATCATTATTTTAAAATAAAATTAACATTTACAATTTAAAAATAAATGTGTTACTTTAGCTTAAACTTTGTTTATACAAAAAAAAAAAAAAAATAAATAAAAATAAAATTATGCTTAATAATACACATTTCTTCAATAAAACTAAAAATAGTCTTCATAACATCTGGATAGTCGTTTTATAGACGTCCTTAAAATTGATTTAAATAAGTATATACAATATATGAGTTTTAGTGGGACTTACAATTTAAGGTTATTATACCCGGTTTTTCATTAAAACCGATGTCATCACAAACAGTGTACTTACATTAATATATAAATATATAGTAGATAATGAGTAAATAAAGAACACTAACAAAAATAATATATAAGTAGCTGCGATAATAATAATAATATGACGAAAGAAAACGTAAAAGAAATATTTTTATTGACGTATGGGTGTTACATTAAAAAAAGAATTACGTTTAAAACGAGAAAAAGGAAAGAAAAGGTATAACGATAAAGTAAACACATTTGGAAAAACAGAAGGCAAAGGAGACAGGTGGCAGATATTAAAGTGCCTAATGGCGATGCGTAACGTTAGAACAATTTTGACTGAGATAAAAAAAAAAAAGTACGAACATTTTCTTTGTCCATTTACTATTTTTTCTTCACATATTAAGGTTTTATTTTACACGCATAAAAGATTTTTCAATAATATTCTAATTCATTGATGAATAACAGCAATTTTATCTCGATAAATCAAGTATCTCTTGTATTGCGGGTTTTTCAACATTGATTAGCTACCATCAAGGTTTTAATCAAGCTACCAAGTTAATGTTATTGTTCGAAATTTAAGCAAAACACCCTACGTCATGTAGTATACAAGTAAATTATTAACAATGTTGTATAGCAGACACTGTATAGACATTTTTATAATATTGTATAATACGAGTATTTTCCTGTATAATACTTGGTAAGAGTCAGTCATTGATTTTCATTACGTTTTGTAACATGCTATTTTATAATATAATATCATTACACTCATTAATTTCTTTAACTATTGTGTATCTATGTACTTCACTATTGATTTATTTATAAAAAAAAAGAAGCTTTTTACACAACGAACAAAATACGATAAATTTAGCATTTAAATGTTTAATACTCTGATTTGTAGTGAGAAAATCATAACTGATCTTGATATTTTTCTAGATTTTTTTTAAAGTTCTTTGAAATAAGCTCAGGTGTTTATTTAGGAAGTCATCTTAATTATATATTATTTATCTCTTTTCATAAACTTGATTTCTAATCGAATTACAAGAGTATAATTTTCTTTATTGACCAATAATATAAAGATCTTCCTCAAACTTAATATATTACTCTAATATACTTTAGAAAGAGTAAAATATGTTCAAAGATTAGATAAAATATGTACTTGTCTTATTTTCAAATTAAATACAATTTTAATGCAAATCACGCACTCTTATCTTAAATTTCTAGTTTCTTGAAAATGTATCTACTCTTACGTATTATCAATATATGAAACGTATTTTTAAAACTCAAAATGCTTGAAATCACATACATGTTTTCAATCTACATAATATTTATTCTTAATCGGTAGCTGGTTCAAATAGTTAAATACGATATAGTACTATAGCTTCGATATGCAATTTAAGTTAATTTACATATTAATAAGTTAAAACAATTTTTTTAATTATTCTGCTTTTACACCAAATATTCAACACTCTCCTTAAATTTAGGTACACTCATCATCCCTACATTATCTGTTCGTCACAAAGAAGTATGTGTTGATCTTTATTATTAAACAGATCACTAAATGTTCTCGAGTCTCGATTTTCTTACAGTTATTATCTTAAAATTTAATCTTACTCCTCTTATATTTAGTTGTGGTTATATATATATATATATCGTAAACATTAGAAATAGAATAGGCACATTCATAATTTTATGTTATTGAGTTGTTACTAGTGTAAAAACATCGAGCGATTTAAATTTCACAACGTGTATCGATTTTATAGGTATGTCTTATCGTTTGTTAATATTACTGTTTTCATAAATCTGGTTTTTTAAATATTGTTTTTTTTTATAGCGAAAGTATTTGATTACTGCTAGTTTGTAGGATTATCGATACTTATGTAAAAATAAAAACCCAATTATTATTTAAACGTTGTGTTAAGATTTTCGTTTTAAAAAAATAACTGCAGTTACCTACTTGAAATGAAAATAAACTTGATAACCAACTCGATCCATAAGACCGTATATTAGTGATGTCAATTTATTTTATCGGTTTTTTTTACTTCCAAAACTAGTTTGTCACAAGAACTGTTTTTTTAGACTATCTATTGTACTATTGGGTTCAACTATCTAGCTGAAAACCTAAATGCAGTAGATCTATAATGATTCATACAATGGTCTTCATTTATTTTATTAGATATTTTATTTTAATAATTCTTTAATAATTTTTATTTATGTTTTATAATTTTCTAGACGGTCTTAAAAAAATATGATTTTAAAATAAAATAATCTAGTGAAACACAGGAATACTATATGTTACAACATTGTAAATTAATTCACATTACTCCTACATCACTGCCATTAAATAAAATCGTTTTAGTGTGAAATGCACAATTAGTATTATACAATGATATTTATTATTTGAAAAGTAGTAGGTGAATACAAATTTACAATACACCAATTATCTTTTACAGGTATTCATCATATTACTAAATTATAAAAATGTATTCATTCTTTATAAACGAATATTACACTATAGTAATGATAAGTTATGATAAATACGTATTAAATTAATGGTTTAAATAATTGTTTTTATTTTTATTTTTACCTACTTTAAAATCGTATTTTTAAATTGTGTATTCAATATATTCATATTACCATTTAGGGTTTTAAGCTACCATTAATTATATTCGCGCAATTTACAATAAAAAACATAAAAAAAAAAAAAAAAAATGCTGGTTGTTAGCAATAATAATATATTTTATATACATACAAGTTTTTTCAGGCATTTTATTTAAAAAAACTTATTTTATATTACAAGCAATTAATGCAATTTATATAATTATGACGAAGACATCAAGCCTGTAGCCAAAATAAATCATCACGTGAAACAAATTAAATTCTAAGGGGGAGAAATAAGTTATAACAATATTAATACTATTGTTAATTTATTTATACTATTGTAAATCCATTAATCTTATCATAACTCAATATTCATTATAGCTAAATTTTGAATATTTTTTAAGGATTTACCATATTTTTTTAAAATTTAATACAGTTATCAATTGTATGTGCTTTTGCTTGTTAAAACAAATTGATAATACGTCCAAATTTTAGTTTTTAGTCCGTTTAGACTCAAATGTCAATAAATTTAAGTTGGAAAGCGGGTTATGTTTCATTGATTGTTTTTGATGATTTTTAAGCTTAACAGGAAAATTATGATTCAAAACTGCTGAGTTACATCAAATACTTCAACTGCTACTATTATTTCAAATATAGCTTTGAATGCTTTACATTGTAGATAAAACTCTAACAAAATACCCTAATTAGATATTTTATTTTGTTTTAAACTAATTTTTACAAACATTTTTTTTTCTGAAGAAGAAATATTAATATTAAAATCGTTAAATATTTTAAAATTATCATTATTAATTCGCATATGTTAAAAACTGTTTTAATAAGTTCATAATTTTTTTTCAAAACAAGTTTCCATTTCATATTTTATTGTGTCAATAACTTTATAAAAGATACGTAATAATGAAATACTAATATTATATTTGATATACCTATATATAAATACCAGATGTTTATTATTGTCATTTGTATCATCTTTTATTATAGTATACCGTAAAACATCTTAATTATTTAAATTGTCTACGATACTATTTCCTACAGATTTACGTATAATGTTGATAATATTATTTTGTAAATCAGGGGTTAAAAAGGTATCATTTTTAACCCCTGATTTAGCGTATTTTATAAGTTAAAAATCTTTTCTTATGACTGAAATGAAAAAGTGATTGAAATCAATCTTTATCTTCTAAATAAAAATTACCACTAAATGGTTATTCCATCATGTCTAAAAATATAATTATTTAAAAAATAAATTTTACATAATGCCTGTGTTTTTCAAGAGAGTTTTCATTCAAAAATATATAAAAATTTTTAAGTCGTTTTAATACATGAAACCCTTTATTTGATATTTTTTTTTCCAGTTGGATTATCCAATCACAGAAAATAATATTTCTTTAGATTCTCTATTACCAATATTTACTGCGTGGTAAACAAAATGTGACATTTTTTCTGAATAATATTCAAGCCAATCAAATAATTTAAGCTATAATTTCTAAAAGATCTATCTGCTGCTTAGGGACAAAACGGAAGTATCATTTGATTTATTTTATTTAGTCTAATAGTTTGATATGTTTTGAAAATAAGTTAACTATCTATTTTATTATTTTTAGACGATTTATCATTTATTAAAATATTTTAAGATATTTCATTTGTTTTATTTGCTGATTTGAATACTCACAAATTCATATTATGTGTAAAAAAAAGTAAAAATTTGCTCATTCAGTTTTCCTCATGTTTAATAAAAACTGACTTAATAAAATGATAATATGATAATTCTTTAAAATATTATCTTTTGATAATAATGACGTAGGTTTATTGGCATATTAATGTAGTTAGTAAATAAAGGAAAATAATGAATTAAATAAACTTATAAAATATACATCTATTGGCTGGTTAATCTGGTTCAAACCGAATTAAAAAGTATAATAATAAAATCTTAAATGTTAATCAGACGTTATCGTATTTCTCTGAGTAAATGCTACAATACTGCTAAAAATAACTTCTCACATTAATAGTGCTTCTATTAGAAATAAAATTATCAAATAATAAAATTCATACCTAGTAACCTACTAAATTGTAATATACTATTATATATACACATTTAATACTTGTTGGAGGATAAAGATTAAATTCAGGAAGAAATTCCTCCTTTCTGTGATTATAGGCCTAAGAAAAATTTAAAATTGCAAAAAATAAAAATAAAAATGCATTCTTCCTATTAGAATTCATTTAAATTAATACAAAATTAACAATAAACAGTTTTCAATCATCAAAAAAAAAAAAAAAAAAACTTTAACTTATATGTCTCAATGAATAATTAGTAATTATTGAAAACCGAAAAAATGTTATGAAGCATCTACTATATACTGAAATATATTTTTATACATCTTTGAAAATCTTTACATGTTGAATGTTACGTCTTTAAGTTGAATTGTTGATATTAAATACTTAAATATTAGATCAACACAGTTTTAAATTAAAATAAAAAAATTATACTTCTAAAACATAAATTGCCACATGTTGACCTATTACAATGAAACCTTAATTAATTAAGGTTTATTTAACTGTCAAGTTAGCACTTTTATGTAAATATAAATTCATAAGCTTGTTCAAAAATAATTTTGTAGTAAATGAGGATAACATGGTAATACATTTTATTATTGTTGTTATACGATTAATGTTATAAACCAGTAAATAAGGTAATGCTGTGTCTTATAAAACGTTTTCATTTTATATTATTAAAGCTGAGTATATTATTATTTCATATTAAAATTAAACTTTAAATATTGTACAACTTTGATTGTTTTTCATTTATTGACAGTCATGTCTTAAATTTACTTGGTATAACATGGTAAAAATATGTTTTATATGAATTAATTTAAAGATATTAACTGCTATGATGGCATGCTTTACAAAAGGTTAACAACGGATAAGTTTAGTACCTGCAAAATTTGTTTTTAAAAATTGTTAACGACCTAAAACTTTTTTTTTATCTTCTAACTTTAATAGTTTTTTTCAAACTAAGACAATATAATTATGCTGCATTTTTTTTTTTTTTAAGTAAAAAAGTCGAACACTTGAATGCTATACTATAAGTTGAACACCAAAATACTATGAATAACATCAATTAATAAGTAATAATAATAATAATATTATTATGTTTTCAAAAATTTCAACTTTTATTATCTTTTGTTGGAATACAGAACACAATAATAATAATTAGTGTGGGAGCCCTTTACTGTAAAACTTCTAATAATAATTATTCAAACTCCGAAGCACACAGGCTATTCGAATTTCGAGTTATTAATTAGAGCTAATGTGTTTCTTGACGTCAGTGAGTTTTTCACCGAACGCACAAGAACACCTAATTTGCCTATACATGACGCCGTGTTTCGGTTTTTAGAATACATTTAATACTAGGAATAATATTATATTATTTATATTATTATTATTATTATTATTATTTCCTGTTATCTTACTAGATACTGAGCTTGGTTAAAGCTGTGAGTAGTGCAATAGACATTTGATAAAGGGGTGTGTTTGAATAATGTTTTTTTTCGTTTTATATAAACGAGTATAGAGAAATAAAAAAATGATAAATTTTCATACCTCCTCGGCGCTTTGCATAAAGCTCGAACTTTTGACAGCATCGCAACTGTCTTCGCGTCGCAATCCGTCGTTGTCATAACCGCTGTTGGTATTGTGATTTTTGTATTTTTTCCATACCATTCTATAAATGCAGATCAAACAATAATAAATCGGTTAATTGATCACTGTTCATCCAATACGTCATGCACACACACATACAGTGCTGATGAACTTACCTCACGCCAAGAACGAGCAGTAGCCCTAAGAACAGAGGTATAACTGTGGCTACGCATGCTAAAATTAATGTTTGTACTTCTGTCAAACCTGGAATACAAAAAGGACGTAAACGAAATATTTATAATAAAATTATTACAAAATATTTTAGGGTAACTTATATTCTACAAATTATAAAATGTTGATATAAAATACTGCATTATATACTTGCAGTGTCAGTATTTTTAACGTAAATTCAAACAATCACATACACACACACACGCAAATGCCTATGTATATGAAGTATTTATACTTACACATGCAACTAATATCATTTGTATGGAATGACCATACAGAACGAATCGATAAAATGTGAGTGTGCTTTTAGTGTAAATTAGTTTTTTTAAGCGTGGAATTTTTAAATTTGTTAAAACCAACCAACTTATTTTGTTTTCCAATTACTAATGGTTTACATTGAAAAATAATACAATTTTAATATTCACTACACACACAATTTTCTTTTGATATATTTATCAAAGCTTTGATATAATAGTTCAATGTTTTCCTAGCGACCTTCAACTATAACAAAAATTTTTCCAATGTCCAATAACCCATGATGTTTTAGAAGTACACAATTATGAAATAATAGCATTTCCATTATACTTTGTCAATCTATAAACTTATGAATAATTACTATGTATTTCATCTAATGGTTAAATTATGTTTAAAATTATGTTTAAAAAATATATCTATATCGGCAAAGTTAGAAATTATTATAAAATTATACTCAAACATATATATTTAAACATTTAATAAATGAATAAAAAATGGATTAAACAAATAAATACCAATTAAAAATAAATTATTATTTAGTATAATTATATTTTTAAAATTTCTTAAAATATATATTCTTATAAAACGTATAATTAATTAATAAGACATTTTAATTTCAAATTATCAACATCGATTTTTTTTTTATTATTTTTGTTTTTTCGTACGCTTACAAACAATATAATATTACACAATTATAATTTTATCATTGAGTTAATATAATATAACATTTTATATGTACTCATTGAATAGGCTACTGTATTCTTGTAATGGCGTTATAGCAAAACAGAATAACACTGTAACGGCTCATACCGTACATAACTATTCAAAACTTAATTAAATTATTTTATCCATGATTTACGACGAAAGATAATGAAAAATAAAAAAAATAACGACACACAAGAGTAGAAATAAGATCAAAATATGGCGTAGATCTAAATTGTAAACATTGTTTAGGGTTGCCGAAATTCTCATGAGAACGTCGAGAGATTTACTGTTTTACGAACTATCGTATAGGAATCATCAATTACATTAGGTATAAAAAAAATTTAGGTATACAACGAACAATTTATGATGAAAAAATAAGTAGTAAAAACACACGAACGTATGATAAAAATAATAAAAAAAAATCTGTCAAATAATTATTTAACAATATAAGGGTTCGTATTCAGGAATTAATTTCAGTTAAATGTGTACGAATAGTGATAAAAAACGATAATAATAATTATTCACTAAATGATATTAGAGATAATAATTTTCTACAAACTTTGAAAACTTTATAAGCACCGATGTGTGACATAATTCTGTGCTACAAATAAAAATAATATTCTTATTACTGAATTTCGTAATATTTGTTTATTTTTTTTTGTAAATTATGTACCTAATCGGAACGACAAAAATAATAATAATAATATATATATTTATATGTATGTGTATATTTTAGTTGGAATAACTAGAACAATTAATCATAGTTATAATAGATAATCTGTGTCTGAACTTATACCAACGATGGTGATCGATATATTCAATGGCCAATGCTCGCAATATCCCACAGTGAAGTGAAATAAAATACACATCATACAAACGCCATCATTATTTTTTATTGAGCTCGTTTCAAGAAAAGTCCTAAAAGCTAGTTATTTTATTTTTTTTTAACGGGAAAACGATCGTTTTAATTTATATTGTTACGTTCTATATTTTAGAAATCGCTTTGAACGAAAGCACTATAGCATTGTCATCACGTCATATTATTAAACGACGAAGGACAATGGATAAATGTCATAAAATTATACATAGAAAACATGATAGCATTGCTTACATTACCTAACTTTGATAAAACGACTTAACCTATTACATGCGACTGAGTGTAATTTAATATAGACGTTATTCTGATGGTTATTGAACTTAAAGAGTACGATTGATTGGATTTGTTAACGTTATCAAAGATTGAGCACTTGTGTACTTTTGAATTGATAAATAAATAGATATTACATGTTGATTTTAAATTAAATTTCAAATGACACTTTTAAAATGATCTAAATACGATTGTAGCTAACAATAAAATGATTGTGGTTACTGATTACTTGTGCTGTGAAAGCAACAATAGTTGCAGCTATTGATATTACTAATGATTTAAGCACTTACCTCCGTACTCCTCCAAGTCTTCGGCCAGAAGTCCAGTAGCGTTGATGCTGTTTGGAATGTCCGCAAGAGCCCAGTCCGCCTCTTCGGGTAATTCGGTGTGTTCAAGCGCCGTTTCCGTGCTGTTCATTTTTCTCGTCGACTTCTATGAACCGCGATCGGAAACGAAACGTAACCGCTATTATAGTATAGTACGTATATTATGTTATCGTATTGTTACGCGCGTTAAATAACACCTATCGCAAACGCATTCCTGTACCACACGGTACGGTGAGGGGGGGGGTACTATCACTAATGAGCGGTAATTTCTTTTGTCTTGTTATCAATTCTAACGTGACGTAAACAGTGTATAATAAAAGTACCTGTAATGCTTGGTCCTCTGGAACGTGGCCTGTGTCGCGTAAACACCATAACAGTGATGCGGATCACACAACGCACGCGTACACACAATATAACGTTATGGGTGATGCGATGTACGACCGGATGACGGGAAAAAAATTGAGATAATGCGATAATGTAACCAGATCGTACACGCGCACGTTATCGTACACCGAAACGTCGTGCGCGCGTAGTATTTCGAGGGACGGTTACTGGTCGTGTGCTATTCGGACGTATCTGACGGAGGTGAAAAGTTCCGGGTATACCGCGAGAGATCGGTACAAAGTCTGTTTCATTGATTATGCCCCTCTGTCGGCGCCCTGGGTCGCTGATCGGGTGACTTCGGCTCCGGACGGAATCTCGTCAAAACCATACATATATACGCACAAGCAACCACGCACCCCCTTGCCAAGCGCGCCACCCGCCCACCCACCCCCACACACACACACACACCCTGCACACACGTCCTCGTGACGCCGTTTTCGTAACTATCTATACGGTATATAACGTTTGGACACTAAACAAAAATGCCTATAAATAAAAAAAGAAAACACACAAAAGCAATATGATAAATAAACAAAAAAAAAATTATGTACACTTACGATACGTCAACACGTCTATACATATATTATACAGACATGGACATATTTTGTACATTGCGATATTTTTTCAAAGTGTAATTGATGGAAATACATAGAAAACATGTGCAAGATGTACATAATATTATCCTACGTAAAGATATTTAAAAAAACAATTCGGAATAAACATAGACGTATTCTTTTGCGTAAAAGTACTTTTTTTTATTCTATCAACAATCAGATCGCTCAAATAATAATAATAGAAAAAAAATGATTTCAATATTTTGTTAAACTATCTAACATGTTTTTTTTTTTTTTTTGTTTATTATCTCACAAAAATAAATTGAAAATGTGTAAAAATGATTTTATTATTGTCGTAATGTCCAAATATGATGTATGATAAATATTTATTGAGCTAATTGTAATAAATTTAATTTTAACGATAGGAACTACTATAAAGATCATATTATGAAACGTAATAATAGAATTTTATATGCCTATAGTTATAATATTTTATTTAAATATAATATTATTATGTATTTACACTTTTGAAAAAAAAATTAATTACATTTCGCTAAATTTTATATGTTTAAGTATTGTAGTGATTAATTTATTGGTAAAAAATATTGTTTAAAAACTTTGAATAGTTTTCCTATACGGCGTTATTTTATTGAACAAGCAATTTTTTATTTATTAAAAAAGTATAATACTTGTGGAAAACTTTGTAATCGAAGAATTGTCAAACCACTTTTTATATTCAAGGAACATCAATGATATATAAAAAGCACTCAACAGAATATTTTTTTATTAATATTATGCATTTGATCTAAATTGTATAACATTAAATATATTATATTTTATTACAATGCAATGTATTCTTAGAATATACAAGATCGAAAAAAAATATCATCGAAAATTTTTACAACATGTAATACATTATCTATATTATATATTTTAATAGATATTCTGATCATCAAAAGATATTCAGAATATGACCGGTACAAGCTTACAGCTGTATGTATTACTCCTTATGAGCGTCTAGTATATTATTAGGGTTATACTTATAAACCTACTATACTCGTATAATATAATATTAATATAAGTATATTCATACTTATCATATGTATTTATATGCACACTATATGTGCAAATATATGTTAAGGTTAATATTTATTGAGGAACGATATATTTTAATTGAATATTATCTGAATATAACCGTTCCTAGTATAAATTAAAATCAAATACACCCCCTAAATGTTGGTAGGTACTAACGATTTGGAAAATTGCCAAATTAAATACTCCCTGTTACTTAAGAACCCTTACACAAGCTCGTATAGGTAATACTGTTTGAACTCAAAAATATTTCGATTGACGGTCGAATGTTGTTCAAATTTTGATTGAATACTTACGTATACAATAATTTTTCAAATATTGTGTACATAAGAAACGTCAAAACTTCAGACTCTAAAAATATAATAATATTATATAAACACAATATAATATAATATTTATTATATTAAAAATGCATTAGGTATTGTGCATTTCTTTACCTGGTGTTTGGTGAACTGGAATGAAAAAAGTTCTGAAATATTATTCAAAAAGTTAATAAAAAAAAAAAAATTTAACTACATTGTTGGTGTATGAGAATTATATTATAACCGATTGGCTTAGGTACATCAAAGTGATGGGTTATGTGGTTTATTTATTATTATTATTATTTTGTATTATATATAAAAATATATAATAGATGTACATTAATCTTGAAAATGTCAAAATAGTAAAGTTTGAAAACGTAAAACATATGTTTAATACTCTATTTTTCAACGGAATAATAATATGAACATCGTAATACTTATCATTTTCGTGCTATATAAAACGACGTTGTAAAAGATATCGAGTTCTATCCAAATGTTAATACAAATATGTCTTTTTTATACACTTTTTAACTAGTAATAATTTTCTGAAGTTTTTTTTTTTTTTAACAGTTAACGCTTGTTTCATACGTCAGAATTTAATGAGTTTTAACTTTTGTTGAATACTTTATTTAATTAATTATAATTTATAGAATATTTTCAAATATTTTTCTATCACAAACAAAGAAAATTTATAAAATCATTAAAAAATATCTATGGATTATAAATTATATTGCTTTCACTCAATGAAATAAAAATTACAGATATTCTTTATTTTAATTCTCTAAATAATTATGGTTTAACTAACATAAGTTGAAAGTTTTTCACATTAATTTTATAATTTAAAACTTGTTTTAACTAAGTAATAACTACTTATTAATATTATAATATTATATTTGTTACATATATATCTATATTTTTTATGCTTTTAATAAACGTTTAACAGCTACTTTATTACTTGTATTTTAATTTTTACTATACTTGAGTCTATTCAAGAGTATATGCAATACAAAAAAAAAAAAAAAAATTTAAAAAAAAAATGTTTTTTTCTTTTTAGTTTTTTTTTATACGAGTTATTACAACTATGGTCATAATTTTAAAATTCTTATTGTTTTTAATGAATATAACAATATACTCAAAAAACAAAATGTAAACTTAAACACACATTTAAAATTATTATTTTTGAGTACTTCCCCCACATCCAATATTGACTTTAAAAATAAAAATGGTATTTAATATATCGTACAGGCTTAATGTGACAATAATAGGTATTACAATTTACCAGAAATATCAATAAAACCCTTAAATAATTCAAAAAGTAAAATATAGCTAATTTATTTTCATTAAACTACTGGAAGCTGTAAAGTATGTCAAAGGAAACTATTAATACATAAAATAGATAGCCTCACATTGCCGCCTTACGATCCAACTAATCTGTAACAAATAAGTTTTAAATGAAAATAAATCGCTGAAAAAATAAATCAAATTAATTTTCTTTTATACCTTAGTTCAATGACATACACGACATACTTACAGACTAAGGCACTTAAGCAAATGCTATAGGAAATTGTCTCATCTAAACAAAAGTCTAGCGTAAAATAAATAACATAATAGTACGTTAAAGTGCATAAATTATTTTAAAACGTAAAAGTTTACTAGGTAAAAATAAATTTAATTATACATAATAACTTACGGTGTACCATTGTTAGATGCTTTTAGTTCAGATATGCTTAAAAGAATAGACAAAATAAGTCCATAAAACTGTTACTCAATATAATATAAATTAATATAATTTTAAACTACATGAAATTTCTATAATTTCAAAATTATATATAACAGACATTACATTTTTATTTATAATAATAATTTTGTTTTTGCTTAGCGCATCAAAAGTATACTTGTATATTTGTTATTCATAGCCCATATATAATAATCGTTTATTTATTTAACAAATGCGTATATATAAAAGTAGAATAATAATATTACATTAGTATCTAATACAATTTGTATTTGAAATATTTAAATCAACATAAAACTCATATTGCAGACAGTAAATCGACTAGTATTAAATTTAGTATTTAGAAAAGAAAAGTTTAGGGTTTGCAGAAAATAATTATAATATGCAGCTGAATCATTAAAATATATATTATAATATTTTCAAAGTGTAAATATACAATAATATATATCTATTTTTTTTTTTTAATACGGGAGATTAAAAATTGAAACGTGTACCTAATATTATATAAATCATATTATATAGTTTTAAAACCATAATAAACTATTAAATAGTTAGTTTAAGTAACAATAATTAACTCTCGTTCAAATACGAGTACTTTAGTAATATTTTATGTTTATATGTGTATTTGAAAAAAATTCAAAAGTGTAATAAGATTTTTTTTTTTATATATTTACTAAATTGTTCGCGAAATCGGTAAGAAATAAAATCAATATTTAAAGAAAATACTACTACTACTATTACAAGTACTTCCATCGTAAACATATTTAGTCACGTACACAAAAATCTACGCAGGTGTTTATTTTGACATATTTTTTGTAACAATTTAGCAATCTGAATTATTTTGTATGATTTTACAATTTTTATTTTACTTTTCATCCTTCAAGTTCTAGTATGATTGACTATGACTTTTTAGTATTTTAGTCTTTCGAACGAGATTTCAAATAAGTTCTCACAAAATATTTCATAAATATAAAAAAATAAATATTTACAGAATTATTTTAGTTTTATTAAACTTATGTATTTATTATAGGTTTTTAAAGTTTTTTTTTTTTTTTTTGTGGTCACTGCTAACGTTAAATTTGAAGTTTTTTTTGAAATAATAACATAATGTATATTTTATATTACAACAACAGAAATGACAAGTTTAGATACCCATTTTAATATTTGTACAGTACTTTTAGAAAATAAAACATTGAATAATAGTATGATGATGATCCATGAAAATATTAACTCAATATCATAGTATTTTTTTATAAAATATATTTTAAAAAAAGTATAATTTATTGTTAAATTAAATTTAAAAAAATATCTTGGTTTCAGTCACTTAAAGGCATACAATGTTTCTAAAGTTGTATAATAAAATACATGTTTAGAAACACGAATTGTCTTACGATTAATTAAATAAATTAGAACATACATCTATAATTAAAAATCGTCTGAAAATAATTTATCGTTATATTTCAAAAGTGTATAACTAAATAATCATTGAGAGATTTTAGAATTAATTATGTACCTAACATAAGTCTGCGTAACTGTGCTGGTAT